TTTTTGATTAAGTTAATTAAATTATGTTGTACAATTATAAAACAAAATAAAATAAGAAAAGGTAGTCAATACAATTAATATTATAGTAAACAATTTAAAAAATATTATAATATATATTTATAAAAAATTAATGTATAATTACACTATTATAATTTATTTTTTATTTTTTTATAAAATTAATAAATTTAATAAAAAATATAAAAAATACACTTAATTATTTTTAAATATATTCTTATCAGTCCTTTAATTTTAAATAATAACCATTAACTATTATATAACTTAACAATTTTATTAATTGAATTCGTTATCTATTATTCACTATTTATTATCCGCTATCTGCTTTTTGCTATCCACCACATACTGTCCACTAATCATTACCCGTTTCACACCATCCGCTACTATTTTTTGTTATTTACCATCCATTATCTATTATTTGTTGAATTTTAACTATTATATCAAATAGGTCGTTGGACTAAGAAGTGTGACATCCTTAGCTTCAAAGGAAGGGATTTTCTCTTCTTATTTTTTAGTTTGACTTGGAGAAAAACTTTAATGAATTAATGTAATTTTAATTGAATTAGAATTACTATTTTCCTAATTCCTATTAGTATAGATGAACAGAAACTAAATTGCACGAGTTGTAAAATCCATCGTAGGCGCGTGTAGGAAGAAAAAAGGAGAAAAATTCCTTCTTCCTAGGAGTAGAATTATTGATTTTAATTATTCTTATTTGTATTTTACAAAACCACTAAAAAAAAAAGAAGAAAGAATCAAAAATTTCTCTAACACACACTTGCAATATTTTGATCTTTTTTAAAATCTTAAAAAATCTTAAAGCCATATCTATGGATCACCACTAGAGGAATTCTAATTTAAACTTTAGACTTTGTCAAAGTGGCAAATTTAAAACTATAATCAACAAAGCACATTTCATTAAGGTTTGTCTATTTAACTTTCTTTAACCCTCGTCAATCTAAAAACATTCTAAGACGGTCAAGAGAGAATTAAAATTTTATTTTTTGTTTCTGCCGCGTCCTCTCAAAGCCAACATGTAGGGGGCGAAAGATTTTGCTTTTAAAGATAATTAGTATTAATTAATGTTGATAAAATTTATATTAAAACCTTAAGGGAGAAGAGGAAGGTTAAAAGGTAGAATGTTTAAAACTTTAAAATATTTAAATGTAAAAAATGTTAACTAAGATCTAGTCCTTACCGTAAGGTGCTGTTATAGGGACGGAAGGTCCCTAGCTAGGCTGATAGGGACTGACGGCCCCTATCACATTTTTATTTTGAGCAATGCTAGGGGCAGTCGCCTCCTGCACTCTCCGGCAAACACTTTCTCTTTTATTGGGCCACGTTATTTTGGTTTCACAGAAGTTGCGCCCGAAAGCTTTGAAGAAGCTTACGTGGCCCAATGAAAGGGGAAGTGTCGGCCGGAGAGTGCAAAAAGCAAGTGCCCCTAGCACTGCTCTTTTATTTTTCCTTCTTTCACTATAATTTGTTATTTCTTAGTCCTTACTAATTTTTTTTTAAGTTTTAGTCCCACTTGATTTTTAATTGAAATCATAATCTTGGAGTAATAAATGCTAATACTGTAAACACTGTATATTAAATCCTAAAATCATAATAAAGCTTAACACTCAAAATACTAAATTTTAAAAATCTAAACTCTCACACTATAAGCATTTAACTTAAAAAAATCTAAACTCTAACACTTCAAATATATAAGAGATTAGTACGTCTTAGGTTTGATTTTCAAAAATAATTGAAGTTTTAATTTATATTTAGAAATTAAAATCATAATTCAAAATTCAAAAATTTACCGTATTAAATGTTTATATTTAAATTTGAAAACCAATTGTATATTTTAATCTAATCAGTTTCAAAATATACATATCAAGATTTAATAAGATAAAATTTTGAATTTTGAATTTAATTTTAATTAAATCAAACAACATAGTTTAAGGTTAGGATTTTAATTTTTTTTTAGAGTCAGAACTAATATACACTTTTCTCAATATTTAATCCAAAAAATTATAAACTCTAACACCCTAAACTATTGAACCCTAAAAAATCTAAATCCTAACATCATAAACATTAAATTTAGAAAATCTAAACCCTAATGCTTTAAACATTAAACTCTAAAAAATTTAAATCCTATCACATTAAATCTTGAACCCTAAAAATTATAATATAAACCCTAAAAGTACAAACATTAAATCCTAAAAAATTTTAATCCTTATCTTCTAAATTACATTTTTTTAATTTTAAAAACTTAAATGATGTTTTTTTTTTTATTTAGGGACTTGAAAATTATAATCCTATAAACTCAAGGGTTTAGGAACCAGTTGCGCCCTTTCTTATACACGGAAAGGAACAAGGATTCAAGTAATCAAACGAACAAAGCATTCCACGTCTGCTCGGCGTCGGCCTCCTGTCGGCATTGGGGCCTTGGTCGGCAATAGCATTATTTAAGGAAAAAACAATAGAACGAAGAAAAAGATACATTGCATTTTATACTAAGTTAAAAAAAATTAATAATTTCATAATTTAAACAAAAAAAATACTATTTTCATTTATTTTTAATCATTACACTTCTATATAATACAATAAAATATAAAATTTAATAAAAATTTATAATATTAACAAATTATGCAATCTTAACAATAATGTAATATGGATCACTATAACTACGGTCACATCACAATACCGACACAGAAGAAAGGTACCGTCGCTTTGGTCTTTGCTTGATAAAATCTCCACGGACTTTTCATGATAAATCTCCACACGGACCACACACGGCTGCAATGATAATTATT